CCATATCAACCTAGACAGCTGAAAATGGGCAGAGCTATTTTGTATGACGTGACTGAGTTCTTTGAATCCTGTGTAGCACTTTACGCACAGTTAGCCGATACTGACCCTGCTACATACCCTGCAGCTGGCACCCCCTGTGGCCCCGAGTTGACTGACTTCGAGGATGGGCAAGGTGGTCCGAGAGGGGAATGTATTCCCCGGCAAAGGAAGCTATAGCAGCGGCACTCGGGATCCACGTTGACGCAGGTTCCCCAGACAAGCCAGTCGAGGTTCCCGGCTTAGCCGCGGAACCCGGACCGGACGACCCTGAACCACCGACTCCGTCGGGAGTTCTTCGGCCTTTTGCTGCCGACTTTTTCATGAAGATCTTGTATGGTGCACGAATGGCTCGGTTTGACCTTTCGCGTGCGGTTTGTCACGCGGCCAGTTGCATGACGAAGTGGACCGAACAGCAGGACGTGGACTTTTTTTCGATTAATATGTTACATAAAGTCCACGACCCAATGCAAACTGACGTCTGGGGTAGGCGACAAAATGAAGGATGTGACTATACGACAGTATTCTGATGCAGACCTTGCCAGCGATTTTCGAACGCATCGCAGCACAAGTGCCGGCCACCAGGTAATTTGGGCACCGCGCGCGAGAGCCAATCAGAGCATGTCTTCTCGTCGACAGACTTGCGTGTCCCCCAGCGCACTTGAGGCAGACATTGTTGCTGCGGATCTGGTTCTACGGGTTGAGTTACTGCCGGCGCTGCCGTTGTGGGAAATTCTGCTACAACGAGAGGCCAACCGCGCATTCATGGAAGAGAATCAGGCGGTTTGCAAGGTGATAAAAGCGGGGTGGCCGATGAAATTGATGCGCCATCCGAGAACCCACCGAATAGATGCTGCTGCCATTTCTGAACAATTTACCCGTGGAGTTGTTAGTTTACAGTGCGAAGGCACGCCGAATGACGCCACTGATATCGGTACCGAACGTTATACCGATCTTGTATGGGTGAAAGTGCTTTACCTTGTTGACATTGTTATCCCGAAGTTTCGGAAAGCCAATCGATATCAATATTATCTGGCATCGATGTTCACTGACGGACTTCCCCTGAAACCTGGGGGTCTTCTCCTGCCGCGGAAAGGTTCGAAGGCTGTGGTGCGTCAAGGAGGTGCGGTGCAAAGTTGAAAGATGCATGGCGCGACGAGAGTCGCCAAAGGCAAGCCCGTGACGGCCTTCCCGATGAAAGACGCGGCCAATGTGGTAGTTCACTTCGCCAGACGGCAAAGCCGGACCTGGTGAAGTAACTGCGCATGCGCATCTTTCGCCGGCGCCGAACTCAGCAGTCGCCAAGGAAAGAGCTAACGACGCACCCGGCATGGCTGGAAGTGCTAACAACCCGAGACCCTCCGAGAGTGACAAGGATGGTTTCAGGAAAAGCTCCCATCAGCGAAAATTGGAAGAAGGCAGAGAAATGATGGCTATGTTTGACATGACTGACAGTGAATCAGATGCTCCGGATGTACAGACACAATTTGCCGATATCGGGAAACAGGAAGATTATAATGACAAAACTACTGATGCGGCTGCGGGGCCGATGCCTTTGTTATCCCAGTCAGAAGAGGGACAAACAATGGACGGAACCGATTGGCACGGAGAAAGATTAATACTTGAATACTGTTGTGGACCAAGGTGCAACATAGGTAATTCGATGAACTTCGTTGGCGGTTCTTGTAGAGTGATACGATGCACTGACAGCGAGGACATGAGGGCCGACGAAGGCAAAAGCAAATCACTTCCGGATATTGAAGAGTTCAAGGGGAAACATCTTTCGCTCTGGGGTTCAATCCCATGCGCTGGGAGATCTCCCTGGCAATGTGTAAAGGAAGCTCGCTGTTTCCGTAAAAGGTGACCGCGGGTCCCTCCGTGGGCTCCGAGGATTCCGAACGGACTTTCGATGCCTATTTTGGAACTGATTGAGGGGGGTGCAGTTTGTATTGAGTGGCCTAGCCAGTGTCAGTATTGGCGAGACACTCAGGTGAAAGCATTTGTGAGAGAGATAGGCTTGCAGAAGACAGTGTTGCATGGGTGCGCGTATGGAGCGAGAGATAGGAAGGGCAGTTTCATGAAGAAGCCATGGGCCATTGCTTCCACGTTGGACATTGTGACTTGTGGTTCGGAACGGATGTGTGATAGCGCGCATGCGCGCGTGGGGGCGCGCGGCAAAGATTGCAACCTTGCGGAAGATTACACTGAGTTGCAAAACAGATGCATGTTGTGCTTGCGCGCGCGGCATCGCACTCCTCCCTTGATCTTGCCTCCCCTCCTCGCGAAAAATGCGCCGCTGCCGTTTTCTCTTATGCGCAGGGGCGGGGCCGCCATAGGCCGCGCCCCCCGCCGGCGTGGCCGTCGCGTAGCCGCGGCCGCTTCGCCCTCGCAGGCAGCAGGCGCCAGCCCGCAGCCTCTCGGTCGTGCGCCGATCCTGGGCGACAGCTTCTTGGCGTCTCGGCGGTGCAACCGTCCGAGATGACCGCGATGGATAAGTGGTTCCCCGTATGCAAAACGACAGGATGCATTTACCTCGCTGGGATCACCTGGACACAGTCCACGGTGACCCCAGCGGGCGAGAAGAATTAGGCCTGTGAGCACCCGAAGGAACCAATGACAGCACAGCCGAGGGAACGTTGCGATAACATAGATTGCTCAGATCATTGCTGCAGGCCTCGTTGGGGAAGCTCCGAGAGAAGCGACGATGATGACATTCATACTCACGATAATGGTTGTCTTATGTATGAATTCCTTCCGAATGACCCGACCAGGATAGCAAAAAGGGTTGCCGCGAAATTGGTGATATTTGAGGCCCGAACGGCACAGCCGCAAGGGCAGCTCAAAGTCCCGGTTGCATGCGCAACGTCACGGTACCCAAAGATATTCGATTCTGAGATGATTGTTGCGGAGCGGAGTGATGTTTAGTTGAAAGAAACGTGCCATTCTGAGCCAAAGGTTGTTGCCGAGAAATGGACCGATGTTGAATTGAACTAACGTGCCACTTGAAATCAGGAGAAGATGGAACTTAATCTCTTTGTTGTGAGTCGCCACAACAAATGGCTCGCGGACCATGGATACAGGAGGTTGTGATGACCCGGAACGGCCACAATTTTTCTCGGACTGACAATATCGCTGGCAAGCTCAATGAGGGTTTGAAGAGATGCGACGAACCAGTCATTCAAAGTTTGCACAACCAGATGTCGGTGGACCCATGGGTCGTTTTCTGGGTATCCTGCCACAAGGATTCGCGAGGCAATTTCAGGAGCAATTTCGATGGTCCTCCCCCGGATCTTTCGAACATTAAGGAATGGTAATCTTTTCAATCCCATGTTGACCCAAACACGACATTGACATGTAATTTTTATACCGGACCCCCAGAGGATCCGAAGAGCAGGTCTGTTGGGCCCTGCGATCGCGGGGAGATAATTGGACCGGTTCGGATAGGCGCTAGACGCGCCTACACGAGAGGTGCACGATATTTCGTCACGATTAAAAGCCGTTGACCGACGCACAGATCAAGTTGTCTTCATGAATGTTTGGGGACCCTCCAGGAGCAAGCCTCCGCACGGCGCGGACGTTGATAAATGGGGCACTCATTTTGCACTCCCAGTTGTCAGAGGAGATCCCAGTGCAAGGATACATGTAGTTGCGCAAGCGCTGACTGAGGAGGCCCTGGATCGGCACCGTGCATGGAAGGAGTTGCAGGAAAAACCTCAACCCAAACGGGCCAGACTTCACTCGGCGGTGCAAGCGTCCGAGCGAGGAGGGCCGCTCTCGAAAGAGGACAGCTGTCCCGCTCAAGAGACGGTCGAGGCCAGCCGAGGCTGCCAATACCGAGAAGGCCGCCAACGCTGAGGAGAGAACGATTCCTTCTGAAACCCCGATGAGTGTTTCTGATGGGCCCGTGAATGCCCCGATGGGAGGCGGTCCTTCGGGCTCTGGTGCTTCAAATGACGCTCCGAGCGGTAATGCTGCTTACAATTTTCCCTCCGCCGGCACAGCCGGGGGTCGGGGGACATCATCTGGATCGGGGTCCGGCGGTGGAAACGCCGGACAGAGTCCAATTCAAGCGCGGTGGCGGGATGGGCCATAGGCCTTCGACAATAATGGTACTCATGTTTTTTCTGGTTGGGCCTTTCTTCTTCCTCCTTCCTTCATCCCCTCCCCCACCCTCCTTCCTTCCTCCCCTGCCCTCCCTCTTTCCCCCCCGCGTCTCTTTTCGAGAAAATGAAGTGAGGAGGAAGGAGGAAGGAGAGGAACATAACGGAGAACGAATGGCTGCGGCAGTTTGCCGAAGTCTGAAGGAATTTCGCGAAGCACTCGGCGAAGCCTGAAGGAAGTCCACTCTTCTCGCAACAGAGCCCTCTTCCCCCCCTCTCCCTCCGAGATATCACACACTCTCCCGCCCCTTTCCCGTTGCCTTCCCTCCACTTCGGCGCGCGCGCGCGCGGGGGTAGGCCTAGGGGGGATCTATCGAAACCCAATCGCCCATTGATCTTCGATCAGGGTCTGATAGCCCCACCATGCCCAGGAACATGCGGTTTGCTATCGGGGGCCTATCGCCGATCTATCGGCGATTTCTCGCCGATTCCACGTCGTTGTTTCCCCCGCGCCCGAGGCCGCGGCCTGCGCGCGGGGCGCGCGCCTCGCCGCGCCCATCGCGCCCGCCTCGCGCCGCCTGCGTCACGACGGGGACCATCGCCCCCGCCGCGGCCGCGGCCGCGGCCGCGGTCGCGCGCGAGGAGCGCGCCGCCCGCCTGCGGGCAGCGGGCGCGGGCGCGCGGGGCGCGTGCCGCCAGCCCGAGGCATCGGGCTTCGAGCGATCGGAGCTTCGGGACGAGGATCGCTCCAGGATGTTTCCCCCTACCTCTTCCCTCCTCGTCCTTCTCCTCCCCCTCCTCCTCCCCCTCCTTCCCCTCCTCCTCCTCCTCCTGTCGTTGCCCCTCACCCCCGCCCGCTCCGAGGCACGGGCTGCCCGCGCGGTACAGCAAGGGCCGCTTCCTGGGCAAGGCCCTGCCCCTGGGGGGGGGGTCGGCGTGCTCGCAACATTCGGAAGCACATCATGGGAGCCTTGTGTACCCTCGCAGTTCCGTCTCTAGCGTCGATTAGCGTTCGGGAGGCGATGGGATCGCGCCATTTCAGCGTCGATTCACGCCGATCGAGTGTCGATCACCGTCGATGTAGCGCCGATGTGTCGATCACCGTCGATGTAGCGTCGATCTGCGTCCATGCGCAAGCCGACAAGATGGTATGGGAGGCTTCCATGAGTTGCCACCGAAGGGGGGCCGGCGTGCTCGCAGCAGTGTTTCGGCGGCGGGCCCCGCAGTAGAGACGCTGAAAGGAGGACCACTCTTGACCAGTTTGAAGCATATCCCTCTTGGTCCATCCTGGAGCCCTCCTGGAGCAGTCGGCCGCTGGAACTTTACGGAGCCCGTCTTGGGGCCCTCTTGGGCCGTCCTGGAGTCCTGTTCGGTTCCACCAGTTCGGGTTGACCGTTCGGGCCTGTTTCGATCGGCCGGTTCGGTTCGAATCAGCCGGTTCAGTTTCAGCCGGTTCAGTTTCAGCCGGTCCGGTTTGGGCTCCGGTTTGGGCGGTTCGGTTGCAGAAGCCGCCGGTTCACGGTTACCAGTTCGGTTCAAACCGTTCCTGTTATCTCTGTGTTTGGCATCACCTCAATTCGATGCCGATTTTAAGGATTCCCTCCGTTTCTGAGGGCACATCCCCAAGATTGTGCTCGCCTTTTGCTTGCCCATCGTAGGGATAGGGATAAGGTCGAGGCTGGTCAACTCTGGGTTCAGGAGGGGCTCTGATGTCTGGGCCGTCCCCTAGAATTGGGCCGGGGAACCTAGCTGTCACAGTGGCCAGAAACGCCCCTCTTTTCTTATTTCGTGGCCCAAGTGGCAGCGCGTCGACTGTACCCTCGCCGTTCGACGATTCAGGCAACTCGATGGGCGGCGGGGGTTCGGGTTCGGCGAGAATGCGCGGCGAGACCCGAACCCTACCCCTGACTCCTATGATCAAGGAGAAACGAGGCTTGGTTGGAACAGGGTTTGGCTGTCGCCGCTTGAGTGTTCGTGTTGCCACGTATCCGTAACGAGGCTCGCTCCGAGCCTTCGGGTTGACACTGCGCGTTGCTTCGGGCCCTCCCTCGCTCAAGACGATCCTCCAGGGGTCGGCGCGCACTCGAGTGAGGTGGCACCTGCAGGTCTTTGCGATCTGTCTCGGCGCCGAGACTCCCTCGCCGCACTCCGGGCGCAAGCCACGGCGCCGTACCCCGCGCGCTTCTCACGGCACTCGGGGCGCAAGCTCCGCGGGAGGAGACGCGGAGCGGGAGGGGAGGGGAGGGGGAGGGGGAAGGGGAGAGCGCTGAGGAGGCGAGGGGGAGGAGAGGGCGAGGAGATGTGCGGGAGAGGGGTGGGAGGTGGGGGAGGGGGAAGGTGTGGGGGAGATGAGTCCTCCTCATGTTCTCCCACTCCTCCTCTCTCCCCCCTCCTTCTCTTCCTCCGCCCTTTTCCCCCTCTCCCTTCTTCTCCTCTCCTCGCCCTCCTCTTCGGCTTCCTCCTCGTCCTGCTCTCCTCCTCCGCCTCCTCCTCCTTTTCCTGCCACCTCCTCCTCCTCCTCGGCCTCTCCGTCGTGGTCCCACCCCTTCTCCCCTTCCTCCTCTTCCGCCTCCTCTACCTCCTCTTCCCTTTCCGTCCCCAGGGTGGCTTTGCCAAGTGCTACGAGGTGCAGGACATGGAGACCAGAGAGGTCGGGGCCATCCCCGCGGAGTGCTTTGCGAGGGGGCAGCATCGCGGCAGTGGCAAATTAGGAGGGGATACGTTCAGGCGGGTTGCAGCGACCCCGAATCGCCCATTCATCGCCGATAGAGGGGCTTTACTTCTTCGTGCGTGTCTGGTCGTGCTTGCACAGCTCGTGTCTAGAGCCTGTCGTCACTCGGCCTCCTTCCCTTCCTGGCGCTTTCTCTCTTCCTCGCTTGCTCCTGTTCGTTTCGCACGCGTCGCGCTCATTCATCCCTCATAGTCATGTGCTTGCCCATCGCTCGTGTGGCGTTCCCGTTTTTTTTTTGTTTGTCGACCCTTCGGTTCGCACAGCGGTCGAGGCCGAGTCGGGTGGAAAACAACGTCATCGCCGATGGGGGCCTGACAGTCCACCCCGTCCACGAACGTCCAGTTCAGCCATTGGGAACCCACCGCCGATACATCGGTCCTGTGTCTTCGGTAGCAAATCATGGGAGCCTTGTGTACCCTCGTAAGCCTGTCTTTCGCGTCGATTAGCGCATGGGAGTCGATGAGATAGGACTGGTTTAGCGTCGATGTAGCGTCGGTTAGCGTCGATGTAACGTCGAGTGGCGTCGATTTAGCGTAGATTAGCGTCGATTCGCAAGAGCCGACAATCTGTTATGGGAGGCTCCCATGCGCTGCCACCGAATCCGTCGCCGATTCCAGTTCGAGGTTTCCCTCCTGAGCCGCCCCCTATCGTTGCCACTCAATCGTGGCGGTGACACAGGGGAGAGTGAGCGGGAAGGAACCTGGGAGCACTGAGATCCTGGTCAGATTGAGAGGGTATGTGGCGGTCAAGTGTGATTTTTGGGACGCGGCCGAAGGACTCCTGCCTGTGTTCTCCTGTAAGGCCTGTGGGGTGTCAGTGGGCCAGAGAGTGGTCCCCAGCAAAGGCTCGGCGGGGGCGTGTTTTGGGTCGCTCCACCATGATGCAGATCAGCATCCTTAGGCTCTCTCTCTCTCTCTCCTTTTCCTTGCTTTACGGCTTCGCGCCTATTTCGCCTCTTCCGTGCAATGCTCGAACCGTTTCCCCGCCTCCCGCCTCTTCCTCTTCCTTGCCGCTCTCTCGTCCAGGACTGGCTCTGTAGTGAACTCATTGTTTCCGTGCTGTGACGTAGTATAGACGTGCGATTTGTGCTTCTGCGCGCTAGACACAGACTTGGTGTCGCGCGTACGACAGGCTCGATGAGGGTTCGAAGGGAACATGGGGGAGGGGGATACGGAGACGGAGGACATGGAGTTGCAGCACGGGAAGCGCTGAGGTAGCGGATAGTCGGCAGTTCTGGATTGTTTTTTTGGCCGTGTTTTTTTTTGGGGGGGGGGTTCTCTCTCTCTCTATCCTCTCTATCTCTCTAGATATAGCTTTCTCTATTTCTTCACATCCTGGTCTGTTTGGCAGAGCAATCGCGGCGGCTTCTTTCGACGGTAGCGGTTGCCGTTCTCCCGCTGATTGCCGTTCCTCGCGCCCAGCCTCGTCCTCGTCGTCCTCTCCCTGTTCTCGCCTTCTCGTCGTCCCTTCAGGCCCTCAGGGACCTCCAGGACGGCCCCAGTGGGCGTCACGAGGCCGCCAAGATGGACCAACGTGGTCACAGAGGCTCCTAGGCCGCTTCAAGCTGGCCAGAAGGGGCCATAAAGACAGCGCGGGCGGGTCCAACAGGGACCGCGAAAACTTCTCGAGAGGCAAACTCTGTTGATTCCCCAAGTAGTGCTTGCGCTTTGCGGTTCTTACCTCTGGAATACGGAACTGGACCTGAAGGTCGGTCTGGCGGTTATGTAGCCGCCGTCGCTGCCCAGTCGCCGCCTCTTCGCCTCCCGTCGTCTTGGCCCCATGGTCGGTCTGGCGGCTATATAGCCGCCGTCGCCGCCCCGTCGCCGCCTCGTCGCCGCCCGTCGTCTGGGCCTGAAAGTGGCGGCTATGTAACCGCCGTCGACGCACCGTTGCCGCCTCGTCGCCGCCGGTCGCTGCAGCAATGACTGCACCACATAATAGTGCACCACGTAGACTGCACCACATTGATCGCACAACATCTATTGCACAGCACAGATGGCACTACTTATACTGCACAAAGTCGATTGCACTATACACATATGTATATATACATATGTATGAAACTATTGCTTATATTGCACAACATATGCTGTACCATATATATATATATATATCGCCCTAATAAATGAAGAGCCAGTGTGCGAAACACTCCTTATTGACGATCTCGCATTTTCGCTTCCGATGGGCTTCTGAGGCTTCTGGATGTTCGTCAAATTGCCCAAGCGTCCCCCAAGAGGAACTCCACAAGGTCACAAGACGGAGGGCATCTTGGGGCCTCCAGAGGCCTCTTGGGGCGAAGGTACCTCCAAACACCTTTCCTGAGCAGCCCGAAGGTAACTCTGAATACCTTGCCTGGGCCCCAGAAACCTCCCTGAGTCCCCCCCAGGCGGCTTCCGAAAGCGTCAGACAGGCCAAGAGCGTCAGAGGAGCCCGAGGGAGGCTGAAGACGGTCGGCCTCGGACTTCAGGACCCTTCAAGATAGCCCCGAGACGGTCCAACATGGTTTCAAGAAGGCCCTCGAGGCTGCCAGGACGGCCCAACATGGCCCGTAGACGGCCAGGGCAGCTCAAGATGGCCCCCAGACGGCCCCAAGAGGCCCCCAAGAGGCCCCCAAGAGGCTCCCGAGAGGCCTTCCAGAGGCCCCCAGGATATCCGAATCCTTGGAGGCTGTGCTACGGGGTTCTGAAGACCTCGCCTCTTCTCTTCCTGTTCCTCCGGGGCCTCAGGGTGGTCCACGGGAACCCAAGCAAGAAGGACGCAGGAGACAGGAGAAAAAAGCGAGAAGGGAGGACAGCGGTCGGAAGGAATGAGCCATAGGAGGAAGGAAGTCGAGGGGAGAGGAGACGGAGCAGGAATTGGGGAGGGCGAGTCATGGGCCGGGAGAAGCGTGAATCATACTTCACATGGTTTGAAACATTCGCAAGGCAGACGTGACGATACGCACCCACTGTGTCGAGACGGTGTCTTGTGTTGCGCGTGGTTCGAGTGTAGATGTTCATATATTTTATGTGTACATCGATCGAAAAGTACTGTCATGATAAAACAGAACTATGTGCATTCTAAGCCTAAACCTCACAATCCCGATCAATTGGGTTCACGGTTGGCTTCGCTCACGAGACCAAAGGGCATACGCATTTCGCGGACCTGGTAGGTGGAATTCCAGCTTTGCTTTGCAAATCTTTCATTGGAGGCACGGCGTGCTTACACTGCTGCGACATGCTTCGCGGTATTCCTTCAGACTTCGACGAGCTACCGCAGCCATTCGCTTTCCATTCCATTCCTCCTCCTTTCTCCTTCTTCCTCATTGCCTTTTCTCGGAGGGGGTGTGGGGGAAAGGAGTGAGGGCTTGCGACAGGAAGGAAGGAAGGAGGGAATGTCAAAAGGAAGGCGTGTGTGTGTGTGTGTGTGTGTGTGTGTGTGTGTGTAGTGGGGTTTCGGAGGGTGGGGGAGGGCATGTTAGGTGTAGGGAGGGGGTGGGAGGGCAGGGGATTGGGATGGGAAGGGTAGCAGGGGATGGGTAGGGGAGATGGAGGGCGGGGATGGGGGTAGGGAAGGGGAGGCATCGTGCAGGGGGCGGCAGGGACGAAGTTGGAGGATCGAGAATCGAGGTTCGAGGGTTCGAGTCTTCGAGGTCCCTGGATCGAGGGTTCGACGTTCGAGGTTCGAGGCTCGAGCTTCGAAGTTGGAGGATCGAGGATGGCGTGTTCGAGGTTCGAGGCTCGAGGTTGAGGACGAGGGGGCGCCGCGAGATCTTCGCCGCCAAGATCGTGGCCAAAGCCTCCGTAGCGAAGCCGCGGGCGCACGCGAAGCTCAGGCGCCCCCGTGCCGCCTCCGCCCCCCGCCTCCGCCTCCCTCTCGTGGAGCCTCGGGTCTCGCCTCGGGTGTCCTGATGTTCCAGCCTACTTTGGCCTGGACCACCAGAAAGAATGTCGAGCACCAGAGAAAAACCGAAACTCGAGGGCTTTCACGCGTCTGGCCCTGGGAGACACTGTTTCGACACTGTTTCGACACTTTTGCGACACTTTTCCAGGTGCTCGACACTATTTCTGTGGTGTGGTCCTTATGTACGATGGGAACAACATAATTCAGGCGCCCTTTCACACCCATGGCTCCGTCCCAGCGAGGGTCCGTCTCCACATGCGTTGCGTGCCTCCTGGGCCCAGCAGTCAGGCTCGCCGTGCCTCCCCTGCTGTAACCGTTCAACGGCTCGAAGCGAAAACAAAGGGCTTCAAGTGCCCAGACTCCCTCGCGTCGTGACCGTTCTTTTCGACTTCTGGGGCCCTTACCAGGCCTCGGATCTGTTATGCAACGGCTCAGGATGAAATGCGGGTCCCCGAGAAGGGGTCCAGACCTCTGGGGTTCTGAGGGTGTCATCAGTGGGTGCCAAGGTGGGTTATATCTGGCCAAACCTAGCCTATCAGCAGCTCCGCTAGTTGGGCGGAGCCCACTTAGCCCTCATCGTTAACCCCTCGAAGCCACCGGGGGCATTTGCAGCCTTCTGTCAAGCCAGGCCAGAGCTGACCCACCTCGGCATCCCCTTGCCCGGAGCAACCCCCTCGCCGATTCCAGCAGGGCGTCGAGCTGGAGGAGCGGGATCTCAACGGCGGGAGAGGCCATCTAGTGGCTTTCGGCCAATCCCGCCACTGTGCCTGGGCTGTGGGTATCAAATCTATTGGATTGCAACGGGTGCTCCTTGGATGCAGTTTTGAGGCCTCTTCTGGGGCCTATTTTGGGCCTCTTGGGGGCCTCTTGTGGCATTCTTGGCGCTTCTTGGGGGCCTCCTGGGGGCCCCTTGGGGCGGAAGGCTCGGGCTTTCGGTTCGTGTTCCCTCTCTTGGGCTCCTCTTGGGGCCGTCTTTGGGCCCTCTTGGGCCGTCTTGGGCGCCTCTTGAGCCGTCGTGGGGGGCTTCTCAGGCCGTCTTGGGGCCCTCGTGGAGGCCTCTTGGGCCATCTTGGAGCATCGGAAAGCCGAAAATGCGAGCGCGCCAACACCTTTCAAACACCTAGGGAAAATCATGGATTTTTGCTCGATGCGATAGTAGCTTCTTGCCCGCTTGTTTTTGGTCCCAGTTCAGTCCCCCCGCGGCCCCCCAAACACCGCGCACCAGAGGCCACTCTTACCCAGGGTCACTCACTCTTGCGTGTAGCCAACTTCTCAGAAGGCTCGGGAGTCCCCCAGCCTTCCGAGAAGCTTTCGGAGCCTTCCACGAAGACGCAGGAAACTCCTCCCAGGAGGCGCGGGGGGCTTCTGAGAAATCCCGCCGCCTTCTGAGAAGGCCTTCTCCTTCTCGTTTCCCCCCCTCGCTCGCCGCCGATGTGAGGGGGCGAGGAGGAGTGAGCAGGGCATGCTCGATCGGACGGCAGTGTGTCAGGCGATCGCAAACATGGATTAAGGGGGCGTGGAATATCGACGGGTCCCGTTTCCATGGGAAATCGCGGTTTGCCGCCGCCGAGCGAGGCGGCACCGGCCGCATTTTGGGGAGGGCACCTCCCCCGATCCATGGATTTGGCGACCGCGCGCCAAGTCCATGGATCGCTAATCCATGTTTGCGCGCCTCCGAGTGTGGCTGAGGCGGCTTGCGGGCTTGCGGGCGAAGTGCCCAGATCCAGGCCGGTGAGAAGACGAAAGGCGTGACGCCACACCTGGGACAGGAAGGCGGCTGCAGCCGCGATTGGATGCTGCACTCTTCGATATACAACGTTGAACAACAGGCAGATCCGGGAGGAGGGAAGAGGGAGGAGGACGGATGAGGGAGGAGGACGGATGAGGGATGATGCGGGATGATGAGGGGTGATGACGATGATGATGTTGCTGCTGATGATGATGACGATGATGATGCTGATGGTGATGATGCTGTTGCTGCTGATGATGATGATGCTGATGCTGATCATGATGATGATGACGATGCTGAGGATACTGAGGCTGATGATGCTGCTGCTGATGATGATGATTACTAGATGATGATGACTAGGTGATGATGATGCTGATGATGATTCTGATGATGCTGATGATGCTTAGATGATGGTGAAGGTAAGATTCTGTTGTTGATGATGATGATGATACTGATGATGATAATGCTGCTGATGCTGATGATGCTGATGATGCTGATGATGATGCTTACGATGTTGCTGCTGCTGATGATGCTGCTGCTGATGATGACGATGAGAAGGATGACGACGATGACGATGATGTTGATGCTGATGCTGCTCATGATGATGATGATGATGATGATGATGATGATGATGATGATGATGATGATGATGATGATGATGAGGGCCATAACGCTGATGATGAGGATGATGCTGCTGCTGATTATGCTGATGATGCTGATAACGATGATGATGCTGATGATGATGCTGATGCTGTTGATGATGATGATGCTGATGTTGATGCTGCTAATTGAATCGCTTCGCTCATTCCGCCGGCCCGTGATATGGCATCGCTGGTTTTTGTCTGTGTGTTCGTTGCCCATGTTGCGCTCTTGGGGGCGGGTGTCGTTCGGACGCGTTGCGTGGGGAGTTTTGATGGTGAAGCAGTTCCCTGGGGGTCGTCTCTCGATGGGGCGAAATAGAGTCGTCGTCAAGATGCTTCTTTGGGGGGCCTCTTGGGGTCTGTTGAGAGGCCGTTCGGGGGCGCCTGGGAGACATGTTTGAAGCCTTCTGGGGCTTCTTTTGGGCCTCCTGGGAGTCTCCTGGGGCCTCTTGGCGACATCTTGGGGCCTCTTGGAGGCCTCTTGGGGCCTCTTTGGGACCTCCTGGGCGCCTTCTGGGACGGAGGGCTCCATTTTTGAGTTCTCGGTATCCCTCCTGAGTCCCTCTTGGGCCCGTCTTGGGGCCTCTTGGTCCGTCTTGGGCGGCACTTGGGCCGTCTTGAGGGCTCTCTTGGGTCGTTTCGGCGCCGTCTTGGGAGCTTCGTGGGCCGTCTTGGAGCGGTCTTGGGGGCCTCTTGGGCCGTCTTGGAGCGTCCGGAAGCCGAAAAAGCCAGAACACAAAAAACATAGAAAAAACCAATGAAAATCAACGATTTTGGCCTCTTGGGGCTCTCTTCGGAGGCCTCTTGGAAGGCTCTTGGGGCGTCTTGGAGGCCTCTTGGGCTGTCTTGGGGGCCTTTTGGGCCGTCTTGGGGTCATCTTCGGCGTCTTCGAGCGCTCTTTGGGCGTCTCGGGGGCCTCTTGGGCAGTCTTGGGGGCCTCTTGGGGCACTCTGAGCGCGCTCTGGGGAGCCTGAGAGGCCGCACCCAGAAGGAAAACCATCTCTGAGTAGACTTGGTCGGGCGGCGGTCGGGCGGCGGTCGGGCGGCGGTCGGGCGGCGACCGGGCGGCGACCGGGCGTTGGTCGGGGTACTTTTCGCCGGGGGACCCCCAGGGGCCGCCCCGCGCGCGCGAACTAGAAATACTGTTAATACTGTTAACCAGTTACCGGAGATCTTAGCACGCCCTGGCCCGTTGGGCCGGCGAATTATGATGCTGCTGCTGCTGATGATGATGATGGTGGCGATGCTGATGATGATGATGGTGATGCTGCAGATGATGATGATGATGACGATGCTGCTGCTGATGCTCACTATGATGATGCTGATGCTGCTGATGATGATCATGACCATGATGATGCCGATGCTGATGCTGATGATGATGATGATGATGATGATGATGATGATGATGATTATGATGATCACGATGCTGATGATGCTGATGATGATGACGACGATGCTGCTGATGATGCCGATTATGATGACGAGGATGATGGTGATGATGATGATGATGATGCTGATGCTGATGATGCGGATGCTGATGATGATGGTGGTGGTGTGGTGGTGGTGGTGGTGATGATGATGATGATGATGATGGTGATGGTGATGATGATGACAATGATGATGGCGATGACGATGATGATGCTGTTGGTGATGATGATGAGGATTATGTTGGTGTTGTTGGTGATGATGATGATGATACTTCTGCTGCTGACGATGATGGTGCTGATAATGATATTGATGATGCCGCTGATGAGGATGATGATGATGATGCTGCTGATGATGATGATGGTTGTGGTTGTGGTGATGATGATGATGATGAAGATGATGATGATGATGATGATGATGATGATGATGATGATGATGCTGATGATGATGCTGATGATGATGATGCTGATAATGATGATAATGATGCTGCTGCTGCTGATGCTGATGATGATGATGATGCTGATGCTGATGCTGATGCTGCTGCTGATGATGATGACGATGCTGATGATGCTGATGATGACGACGATGCTGCTGATGATGCCGATGATGATGACGAGGATGCTGATGATGATGATGCTGATGCTGATGCTGATGATGATGCTGATGATGATGGCGGTGGTGTGGTGGTGGTTGTGATGATGATGATGATGATCATGGTGATGTTGATGATGACAATGATGATGACGATGACGATGATGATGATGATGATGCTGTTGATGATGATATTGGTGTTGTTGGTGATGATGATGATGATGATGATACTTTTGCTGCTGACCATGATGTTGCTGATATTGATATTGATGATGCCGCTGATGAGGATGATGATGATGATGCTGCTGATGATGATGATGATGATGATGATGATGGTTGTGGTGGTGGTGATGACGATGATGCTGTCGATGATGACGATGATGCTGATGCTGATGATGCTGATGATGCTGATAATGATGATGATGCTGATGATGATGGTGCTGCTGCTGATGATGATGATGATGATGATGCTGATGATGATGATGATGATGATGATGATGATGAGGAGGAGGAGGAGGAGGAGGAGGAGCAGGAGCAGGAGGAGGAGGATGAGGAGGAGGGAGGATGAGGAGGAGGAGGCGGAGGAGGGGGAGGAAGGGCAGTGCATACGGTAGTCCTCCGTTGCCTGCTTCTCCGATCACGATCCCGTCCTTCTCGTGTCTCTGGAGTCCCTGAGAGCAGGGTCAACTCCCCCACCTCCTCAGTCTCCTCTTTCTCTCTTCCTCCTCCGCATCTTCCCATTCCTGTCGTCTTTTTCTTCCTACTCTATTGCGAAACGGCCGGTGCCGCCGACCCTGAGAACGACGAAGATGAAAACGAGGGGGGGGGGCAGGGGGAGGAGGATGAGTGGGAGGTGGAGGAAGGGTGGAGGAGGTAGATGAGGGAGGACGAGGGGGGAGAAGGATGTGGAGGAGAAGCAAGAGGAGGAGAAGGAGGCAGAGGAGAGCAGGAGGAGGGGGAGCAGAGGAGGAGGAGGAGGAGGAGGAGGAGGAGGAGGAGGAGGAGGAGGAGGAGGAGGAGGAGGAGGAGGAGGAGGAGGAGGAGCCTGTCTGCGCTCCCTGGGGCCCCCCTCTCCCCCCCCGGTCCCTCGTGCCACGGCCGGACTTGGTGGGCAGGTTTGGTGGCTCGGGCTGTCTGCAGTGGTGTGGTGTATTTCTGGCATCGTTGTCGTACAGTGCGCTCGCTCTGCTCTTTTTCCTCTCGGCCTCTATTCCTAGTTTGGGCTTCAACCTTCTTGCCCTCAATGCATGAATGAATGAATGAATGAGGAGGAGGAGGCGGCAGAGGCGGAGGAGGAAAAGGAGGAGGCCAGAGGCTTTCTCGGGACAGCCTGGGGCTCTCTTGAAGCCGTCTTGGGCCGTCCAGGGCTCCTCTTGCGCCGTTTCGAGGCACTCTTGGAGGCCTCCTGGACAATTTGGGGCTCTCCAGGGCTGTCTTGGGGCAGTTTTGGGGCCCCTTGGGAGCCTCTTGGGGCCTCTGGGGGCTTCTTCGGGGCCTCTTGGGGGCCTCTTGGGGCTGAGAGCTCGAAATGTCCGTTCGGGTCCCCCGTCTGGGCACTCTCCTGGAGCCGTCTTGGGGGCCTCTTGGGCCGTCTTGGAGGCATCTTGGGCCGTCTTAGGGCCCTCGTCGGCCGTTAGGGGACCCTCTGGGGGGCCTCTTGGGCCGTCTCGGGGTGATCTTGGGGGCCTCTTGGGCCGTCTTGGCGCGTCGGGGAGCGGAAGAGGCAATATCGCCAACATCTGTCAAAAACGTATGGGACATCGATAATCTTATCTCTTCGGGCTCTCGTGGGAAAGCTCCTGGAGGCCTCTTGGGGCGCTTTGCAGGCCTCTTGGGCCGTCTGGAGGCCGTCAAGGCGTCTTGGACAGATCGTTCGGCGATTCGGGGCTCTCTTGGACTGTCTTTCGGGCCTTTGGGGCACTCTTGGCCCGTCTTGGGGCTTTGTTGGGCTCCAGGACTCCCAGGGGTATCTGACCCTTCCCGGGACCCCCCCCCCTCCGGCGGGGGAGGGATCGAAGGGAAGGGGCTTCCCTTCGACTCAATTGCGACGTTGCTCAACTTCGCTTTGGCTGGCGTGCTGAGGAGGTCCCTGGGAAAGGGGGGAAGACGACGACCAACGAATGACGAAGATGACGACTTGAACGGACAAGCCCCTCACACACGCCGACAGGGTCGGCGGATTTCCGACTTGTCGCATGGGATTTTTTGTTTTCTCTTTCGTCCGCTTACTTCTGACCTCAGGTCTGAGATCGCCATCCACAGATCGCTGGACAACGACAAGGTTGTCAAGTTCCACGACTACTTCGAGGAGGGATGGAGCGGTGGAGGAGGGAGGAGGAAGGAGGAAGAGGAAGGAGCGAGGAGGAGGAGGACGAGGAGGACGAGGAGGACGAGGAGGAGAAGGAGGAGGAGGAGGAGGAGCAACATGAGGAGCAGGAGGAGGCGAAGGAGCAGGAGGAGGAGGAGGAGGAGGAGGAGGAGGAGGAGGAAAAGGAGGATGATCAGGAGGAAGAGAATGAGCAGGAGGAGGGGGAGGAGGAGGAGGAGAGGAGGAGGAGGAGGAGGAGGAGGAGGAGGAGCAACATGAGGGAGGAGGAGGAGATGAGGGAGGAGGAGGAGGAGGAGGGAGGAGGAGGAGGAGGAGGAGGAGGAGGAGGAGGAGGAGGAGGAGGAGGAAGGGGAGGAGGAGGAGGAGGAGGAGCAGGAGGAGGAGGAGGAGCAGGAGGAGGGGAAGGAGGTCCCTGCACCCCAGAAAAAGGATAATGAGTACGTGTACATCATCCTCGAGCTCTGCCCGAACCAAACGCTCAACGAGTTCGTGCGCAGGCGCCCCAGCAAGAGGCTGTCTGAGGCAGAGGCCCATCCGTGGGGTCTCTCTGTCTCTCTCTCTCTCTCTCTCTCTCTCTCTCCCTGTGTATCTCTTTGGCTCTCTCCACATCTCTTCCACTCCCCTCCATTCTTCCCCAGCCTTTCCCCCCCCCTGCGTACGTCCCTCGCCCCCCCCCCCGCTCTCCTCCTCTCTCTCTCTCCCCCCTCTCTCTCGCTCTCCCCTCTCCCTTCTGCCTCGTTTTGCTCCGTATCCTTCTCCTCCGTCCTTCTTCCTCATCCCTTCCTTCCATCCTTATTGCTCAATCCTCCGTCGTCCCCCCCTCTCACCCTCAGTCGATTTCTTTCGCTGCCTCCTGCCGTTTTCCCAACCCTCCTGCGTTGGGTATTCGTTTTTGAATAGAGCACTGCGGTTGCACACCTCCTTCCTTCCTTCCCGCCTCCTTCCTTCTCTCTTCCCTCCTGCCTCTTACATTCCGCCCATCGCCGCCAGATGCGGGCCCCTCCTCCCTGTTCCCAGCCCTCCTGCGTTGGGTACTCGTTTTGAATACAGCACTGCTCGCGCGTCGCCTTCCCTCCTTCTCGCCTCCCACCTCCGCTCGCCTCCCTCCTCATCTCATCCCTCCTGGGGAGCTGCGATCTGCGAACCTGTTACCACTTTCCAGGGCTGCTGGGGGTCCAGCGGAGTGACGCCTTACGCGGATCACCAGCAGACCTCACCATCCCTGGGGGGCTGCGATCTGCGAAATTTCAATACTCTCGAGGGTTGCGCTGGAGTGTGCAGCGGAGTGACGTCTCACGCTGATCACCAGGAGACCTCGCCATCCTTAGGGGGCTGCGATCTGCGAGACTGTCGCCACTTTCGGGGGCTGCTGGGGGGCCCCAGCGGAGTGACGTCTTACGCGGACCACAAGGAAACCTCGCCATCCTTGGGGGTGCTGCGATCTCCGAACTTGTCGCCACTTTCGAGGGCTGCTGAGGTGTCGGCGGAGTGATGCCTGGAGTGTGCAGCGGAGTGACGTCTCACGCTGATCACCAGGAGACCTCGCCATCCTTGTGGGGCTGCGCTCTGCGAGACTGTCGCCGCTTTCGAGTGCTGCTGGGGTGTGCATCGGAGTGACGTCTTACGCGGGCCACCAGGAGACCTCGCCATCCTTGGGGGCCTCCGATTTGCGCACCTGTCGTCACTTCCGAGGGCTGCTGGGGAGTGCATTGGAGTGACGTCCTACGCGGATTACCAGGAGACCTCGCCATCCTTAGGGGGCTGCGATATGCGAAACCGTCCCACTTTCGAGGGCTGCTGGGGAGTGTAGCGGAATGTAGCGGAGTGACGACTTATGCGGATCACCAGCAGACCTCGCCATTTGGGGGAGGGGCGATCTCCGAACTTGTCGCCACTTTCGAGGGCTGCTGGGGGGTCCAGCGGAGTGACGTCCTATCCAGATTCAGCTGAGACTTTGTCATCCCTGGGGGTGCTGCGATCTGCGAGGGTGTCGCCACTCTCGGGGGCTGCTCGGGAGTCCAGCGGACTGACGTCCCACCCAGATTCGAATGAGACCTCGCCATCCCTGGGGGGCTGCGATCTGCGAGACTGTCGCCACTTTCGAGGGCTGGGCTGCTGGGGGGTCGAGCGGAGTGACGTCTTACCCCGATTCAAATGGGACCTCGCCATCCCTGTTGGGCGGCGATCTCCGAACCTGTCGCCACTTTCGAGGGCTTCTGGGGGTGCATCGGGGCGACGTCTTACATATGCGACCTCGCCATCCCTGTGAGGCTGCGATATGCGAAACCGTGGCCAGGTGCGAGGGCTGCCGGGGGTCCAACAGAGTGACGTCTTACCCCGATTCAGATGAGACCTCGCCATCCCTGTTGGGCGGCCTTCTCCGAGCCCGTCGCCACTTTCGAGGGCTGCTGTGGGGTTCAGCGGAGTGACGTCTTACCCTGATCCAGATGAGACCTCGCCCTCCCTGTTGGGCGGCGATCTCCGAACCTGTCGCTACTTTCGAGAGCTGCTGAGTGGTGTGTGTGTGGGGGGGGGTCGAGCGGAGTGACGTCTTGACCATCTTCACGAGGGCTGCTCGGGGTTCCAGCGGAGTGACGTCTTACCCCGATGCAGATAAGACCTCGCCATCCCTGGGGGGCTGCGATCTGTGAAACTGGCGCCACTTTCGAGGGCCGCTGTGGGGTCCAGCGGAGTGACGTCTTACGCCGACCACCAGGAGGCCTCGCCATCCCTGTTGGGCTGCGATGAGCCAAGCTGTCGCCACTTTCGAGGGCTGCTGGGGGGCCCAGCGGAGTGACGTCTTACCCATATTCATATGAGACCTCGCCGTCCCTGTGAGGCTGCGATATGCGAAACTGTCGCCACTTTCAACGGTTGCTGTGGGGCACAGCAGAGTGCCGTTTTACACGGACCACCAGGAGACCTCGCCATCCCTGGGGGGCTGCGATCTGCCAAATTGTCGCCACTTTCGAGGGCTGCTGTGGGGTCCAGCGGAGTGGCGTTTTACGCGGACCACTATGAGACCTCGCCATCCCTGGGGTCCAGCGGGGTGACGTATTTTTCTGTTACTTGGGCAACGACCGTGGACAACGTCGGACAACCTTCTGATGATGCGCGACTCTGGCCTGGATTTCCTGGTCCGCGGGCCGCCCGCAGACCTGGTGCCGCGCCTTCTAGCGTTTAGCCCCCGGAAAACTGTAGGAAGGAAATAGAGAAGCTGACGGGCGAGCTAGGCCCCTCTCGCTTATTTCACTCATTATAGGCATGTTCAATAATTTGTTCGAGCGCCGCGGCGACATGGCGCAGGCAGCGCTGCATCTTTAGCGTGATACCGACAAAATTCTTCACGCTTCGCGTATCCCCACCAGCCCATCTCAAAACAGCAACTCTTGCGAAGCATGCCGGCAGTCGTGTTTTTCAGGCGTGTTTCCGCCTGCCCCCGCATATCTCCCCTGTTCCTCCTTCCTCCCGCCTCCTTGTACATCCTCCTTGTGGTGGGAGCGGGAGAAGGACGAGGCGGAGGAGGAGGGAGAGAAAGCGCTCCTCGTGGTTTGAGTCGTTTGGGGTTTCTCGTCCTGGTGTGAGTCGTTCGGGCCCTTCTTCCTGGTGTGAGTCGTTCGGGCTCTTCGTGGTGTGAGTCGTTCGGGCTCTTCGTCCTGGTGTGAGTCGTTCGGGCTTCTCGTGGTGTGAGTTGTTCGGGCCCCTCGTCCTGGTGTGAGTCGTTCGGGCCCCTCCTCCTGGTGTGACTCGTTCGGGCTCCTCGTGGTGTGAGTCGTTCGGGGCCCTCGTCGTGGTGTGAGTCGTTCGGGCTCCTCGTGGTGTGAGTCGTTCGGGCGCCTCGTCCTGGTGTGAGTCGTTCGGGCCCCGTCCTGGTGTGAGTCGTTCGGGCTCTTCGTGGTGTGAGTCGTTCGGGCCCCTCGTCCTGGTGTGAGTCGTTCGGGCTCCTCGTTGCGTGAGGCGTTCGGGCACCTCGTCCTGGTGCAAGTCGTTCAGGCCCCTCGTAGTAGTCGTAGTAGTAGTAGTAGTAGTAGTAGTAGTAGTAGTAGTAGTAGTAGTAGTAGTAGTAGTAGTAGTAGTAGTAGTAGTAGTAGTAGTAGTAGTAGTAGTAGATGTCTTTTGGGAGCCTCTTGGAGCCTTTTGGGGCGTCTTGGGGGCCTCTTGGCGGCCCCAGGGGCTTCTAGGAGCGTCTTGGGTGCCTTGGGGGAGCCTCTTCGGGCCTCTTGGGAGCCTCTTGGAGGCCGTTTGGGGCGTCTTGGGGGCCTCTTGGCGGCCCCAGGGGCTTCCAGGAGCGTCTTGGGTGCCTCGGGGGAGCCTCTTGGGGCCTCTTGGGGGCCTCTTGGGGGCATCTTGGGGGCCTCTTGGAGGCCTCTTGGGGCCTCTTGGGGCTCTTTGGGAGGGGTCTGGGAGGTATCTTGGGGCCATCTTTCGGGCGATCGATCACAGCTGGGGCGAGCACTTTTCTGCCTCCCCCCGTCGGGGCCACAATCCTCTTTGTTCGAGCGCCGCGGCGACATGGCGCAGGCAGCGCTGCATCTTTAGCGTGCTACCGACAAAACTAACACTCTTCGGTCTCCCCCCGTCAATTTCGTCGTCGTCCTCTGCCCCCTGCCACCTTCCCTTTGCTGCTGCCGCGCTGGCGGTTCGGCCCCCCGCGCGTCCTTCTCCTGACTTTCGTTCCCGCCCCCAAGTCCTCCTCAAGCTTGGGCCCTCGTTCCTCGTCCTTCTTCTGCTGTCCGGTGAACCGTGCCACGTGAGCGCATCCCATGTAGTGTGCACGTCATATGGCGGCGCTTGCGCTGTCATTGTCTTGGCAAGTTTGGGCCGGCTCCTCCTGCCACTTGATGCACATGGGTTGGGTACGTCACAAGGTAAGTTTGCCTTTCGTGCGCGTGCCGCCGCAACGCGTTTGGCCCAACTTCTTTTGTGGAACGCAGCTGGCGCTTCGTAGGTGGTAAGAAGGAGCGGCGCGCGCGCCGCCATGTCGTATGTCAGCGTCAAAGGAAATTTCGTCCCGAATATTCACGTTAAAGGAATCT